TGGTACTGCAGCGTACCCGGAACACAGACCGAGAGCGCTTCTTGCTATCTGGCCAGGTGAGCGATCTACAATGCTGTATACCTCTTCGCGGGGCTGTGCTTCAGCAGAACGTGGAGGCGTTGATCCCCATTTTGCAACTTGGCTTCTGCTAATCCGAGCTCTCTAGGAACCAGTTCTATGCTGTTCCACATATAAACCCGACGAGACTTTCGCAGATATACGCAGCCAAGAGGGTGACCACCCCGCTCGTTGCATGTGGGTGTAGCGACGTTCAAGGATCGATCACGTCGTAAGTTAATTCTGTAACATACCAGAGTAGCCACTCCTTGCTACGCTGATATCTTTTGATCTAGACTAACCACCGTCCAAACGTGTCGTTCTTTCACATTCTTCGCAGCATCGATAAGCGGCCACGACCTGACTAGAGACTGTCGCCCGACGCGTTCAAGGCTGAGGTAGTGGGGAAGTCAGGACTTTCACTAAGGCAATAGACACACTCGATGCTGTCGAACGGCAATCTTCGCTCTACGACCCTACCTTTGTCGACACGACCCTACCTTTGTCGACACGACCCAAAACCCTCGAGGCCTGTAAAACACAGTAAGTCCCATTTAGATGCTTGACGATCATTCGAGACTTATCAAGGCTATGGGAGTGAACCTGATGGCTGACCGACGAGCCCCTAGACATCGTTCGGCTAGCATTGAGGCATGTATCTACGATCTGTCGAGTCTCGTTGGAGTGTAGACATGTGGATATCGCTAATGCCAATCAGCTCTTGGGGCTCTACGTCCTCGTAGCGTGCGATGAAGAGCTTTTGAGACATGTCGCCGATCGCTCCGGATCTAGGTGGCCGTAGATCCCCTGCGCATCGAGCAGCCCTCACAAGACGACTCAACGCACATGGCTGGATGTGTGTAATATCGCAGCCAAACAAAGCGACAAGAGCAGCTCCTCTAGTACGGTCCCATCAGCACACAAAGCCACGGCTGCACGGCGTACAGCGACTGATGATACGTTGTCGTGCCGTCCTCCTATATACGACAATTTTACTTCGTACACGCGGTACGTAGTGTGCGTTTGGTCTACCAACATTTCTACCTGTGTAACGGAAAACCCGATGGGCCGGAATGAGCCGATAGGATGCGGTATTTTCACCGGACTGCTTGCTGACTTTGCGCTCTCATTGGCTAGTTCCGGCCAACCGGGTTTTCCGCTACATGGGGAGGGATGTTGATTGCTGCGAAAGTAGATCAGAGCGAAAGCATATCGTACATGCCCCAGGACACACGTATGCGACAAGGTTGTCGGATATGGGCTCGGACATCGGATTGCGTCGCCATGAGCAATAAGCCTACTGGCGCATAGTAAGAGGTAATGTCTTCTTTTTCAACGCGTAGAGAGTAACATGACAAGTGCGTTTGCAGCATCGCTAACGTTACAGTCCCATCCCACGGCCATCTCCATCGAACTACGACTATACAGATGGTAAGAAGTCATCCCTCCTGCACGAAACAAATAGTTAGAACTTTGCGACGGGAGACAAGAATGCCAAAGAGAGACGGCCGTGAAAGGAGTCGGAGCGTACAAGGACTGCATCTCCGACATGGAAGTCTCGCAACAGCACACGGCCAATGCTTCTACCGACGCGCGGCTTATGACACCTGTCTGTGGTATGTATAGAAAGGCCGATTCGACTATAGTCTCTGTGAGAAAGCTGAATGGAACATCAGATCCATTTAGAACGCCCAGCTAATCAGATACAGAGTCGTTACCAGGGCCCTAGATTCGGCCCTTACTTGATCCACAACACGATTTGCCGATGGAAAGGCGATGAGCCTTCCGAGTCTCGGTATGTCATGCTTCCATCTCTCTGGTCCACGTGTAAGTACTTGACAACCGTGCAGAGAGATCTCTTAGAATGATACGAGATTCACATCTCATGGGCACTCGAAGTGTGTGTTTGTCTTCGGGTCCATCGATACCGCATTAACGGAGCAACATAGGTTTCTCAAGAACCACGCACCAACAGCATTGGTCATGCACATCCTGCTCTTGGCCTCTACCGTTGAGCTTCATGCACATCGACCGTGTCAGCTTCATTGCGCCGGAGTTGCTCTAAAGATTGGCGGGTTCGCGGCGCAGATGTCGACGCGATCACGTCGAAAGGTGCATCAAATGACCCGGCCTTCCACCAACCTTCCACGAACTGCGCCTGGCTGTCAAGGTTGGCGCTTTCGATTTCGTAAGCCTCACCATATTCTTCCAAAGTCACTACCTGAGCACCTAGGCTGAGCATGTAACAGCAGCAACGTGGTTGCCGCTGAGCTGTATCGAAGTCAAACTCACCAGCCAGCAAGGTACTGCAGTGTGATTGTCGTGAGCGTTAGCGGGTGCAAAGCACGCAAACACGTCGCTGCTACTAACGCAATGTGAATGCCAGTCTGTGCGTCTAGAAGCGCAGGCGAGCCTAGCATGCAACCAATCCATCTGCCATTGCTGTCAAGACATCGTACGCGGAGATCCGTCAGCGCAAGCTGCCCGCCGGTCGAAGTCCAATCGCCATAGCAAACATGTATAGGCGAATGCGTTTTGTGCAAGTATGCGGCAACGGCGAGTACGTGCGCATGGTACTCGGCGACGATGCTGTAGAGGCTTTGGCGATGATGCCGTACTACAGCAAGCTACAGCTAACGGTTTTGCAGTTCCAACAAGCCGCTGAGACTGTGACGTCTCTGTTATTTCTCAACTTGAGTTCTTCGCCGTTACCTCGCCCTCCGACGCCTTCTGAAACCAGTAGGTTGTGGAGCCTCGCATTGAGAAGCCTGCAACTGAGAAGCCTGCAGTCGAGGAGTCGGGCACCAGCTCACATGGGACGTCTTGCGTTGCCCGAACCCCTCAAGACCTCATCTTAAACACTGCTGATCGCGCAATAGCACCTGATACATTGTCCGCACAGCCTTGAGTAGGTGCAGCATCGTGAGGCCAGACAGAGTGACCCTGTGCAGGCTTCTGGGGATGGGCGGCGGTACTTGAGGTCTAGCTTTAGACCTCGTATGCAGCGCCAGGAACGCGGTGCTAGTGGTAACAACGGCAAAACTAGTCATTTGACCTGTATTCTATATGCCAAAGCAACCGGCCGTGACGACGAGCCCAGCCACGGAGACCGCCGCGAGCAGTCGGCTCACGCTGCGGCACGCGATTTTCGTTAAACCCTCCAGAGTCTCTGTCGTCCACCAAGTCCGCCGGCGCCACCGCGATAGCGTTCGCAGGCACTGCGATACGAATGCCGCCGTCGGCATCGACAGCAGTGGGTGCGTCAGAGGTCGACGGCGGCGGACAGTCAGCTTTACCACGCTCGGCGAGACGTTGCAAAGCTGAGGTCGGCTGAGCAGACCTCGGAGACACCAGAATACGAAGTCGTTGGAAGCTTTGCTAACAAGATGGCAGCTCTAGCCATAGCCGAAGGCGCGTAGATGGGAACACCAGCTCGCCCACATCGACACTGGACAACAGCGGTCTGAACGAACCAGCCTGGCCGGTCTCACCTCGACGACTTGACTAGGCGGAGATGACCAGACGCTCCGCACTGATCTGGTCGACTGTCAGCAAGTCTCAGAAAGAGGCTCTTCACGAATCAAGCACGGAGACAACGATGCAAACACGATTTGCGAGTGGAAGATGTCCCACATGTTCAAGATTAGCTATGATACACGGCGCACAGAGAGATGTTGCAAAGCTCAATACGCGCGAAGAACCTCATTTTTTCGGCACGGTGGGTTTTCCGCCACACAGAAGGAGGCAACACTTGCTCGCCGTTCGGAATGTACGCCATTGACTCGGCCTCAGAGGTCCTGCTGAGAGAGTTGCGCCTGCGATCGGACGAACTGCTTTTGCACGCCGACTCTACATGCAAGCATTGCGGGTTCAGAACTGCCATCAGCGAACTGCTCGCCCGCCACCTGCGCCGTCACACTGTCCATCCACCTCTTCAACAGTCATGGCGTAAAGTAAAGTCGTCGATGTGGCCTCGCGACCATAGGGTGGAAAGACTAGTTCCTCCAAGCTGGTGTTCAGGACGGAGAAGACGGCTCAATCTACTGTCTTTTGGAGCTCGATCGCTCATTCGCAGCTGCTAGTCCGCTCGACAGCAGCCTACCACAAGACCCAGCGTCACGACCCCGCCTTGAGCAATCGCGCCATGATGGACTCACACGCATGGCCGGTTCCAGCCGAGAACTCATGGTGGTATTCGTGCAGATGCCGCACAGTGGAGGGCGGCACATCGAGCTTGGAGGTCGGGATGACATAGTCTCGTGCAGCTGCCCAAAGCAGTCTCCACGAAGCTCGACCAAGTTTCCTCGGAGGCAGTACTTGGGTCCGTACCTCAAGCCAACATCCAAGGCATCGGGCAGGCCATTTCTGCCACGATCCCCCACGACTGACATGCTCCACGGCACCTGTACCCCCTCCGCTAAAACAGCTCGTCATGGGCGACATCAGGTACCTGCTTGTGGTAAACGCCATCGATTACAAGGTGCAGACAAGTCGTATGCTTGGCATCACCCGCATCGAATTGACTGCGCCATGCCGTTCAGCTCAAACATCGCCCGCCGTATCTCCAGTGTGCATGCAGAAGGCTTTTTTCGCGCTGGCTTGCCCAAGCTTTCTGCCGGCTTCTTCCTTTTGCGGTTGGCCGAGATGGCACCTAGTACGGTCCGCTGCTCCATCTCTGCTCGCTCGAAGTCGATCACCATCACGTGCCCGGTCTCCTCGTTCCACAGTATGTTGCGTAGCATCAGGTCCCTGTGCAGCACCCCCAGCCTGTGAATCGCGTCGGCCGACAGCCTTACTTGCTCGCTGACCAATGCCTTGTTCTCCGCTGTAAGATGCTGGCTGATAAGATGGCCTCCGAAGCTGAGGAACATCATGTGCACAAGGTCGACGATCCCTTCGTAGTAGTACGGCGTCTCCAGGTCGATGTTCCCCAGGTGCACCGGCACGTGGATGCCCTGGATGGGCCGAAGCCGCTCGTAGATAGACGCCTCCCATCGCAGGCGATGGGCGAAGTAGGCGGGCGTGCACTT